AAGGTACATAAAATGCAATGACTCTAAAGTGAAAATTGAATGAAACTTCTAGTTTTTCTGTTGTAATTTGGAAATTCTTTTATTGGACCTATTTTATACTTTTTTAGCCCTGGAGGTGACTGTTTGAAGTGATGATTCTGAAGTAGCCTGGTTTACGTAGACGGAACTTCTCTCTGTAATCTACTGTATGTGCGTGGCTCTCTGCTGTGTGTGACCCTAATTCCATCCTTAATTAATTCAGGGCCTCTTTTATAACAGGAATTAAGAAGGGCTGTCTCACAAGTATATTTAATGAGAATAGAGCTTTTAAGAGTATGAAAGTCTCTTTTAATGGTACTGGTTTTAATAATTTAGAAGAAAAGCACAAAAGGAAAAAATAAAAAGACATTTAGTTATCATGTCTTACTGTCATATCTTACAGAAACTAATTGTGCTAGGCAGGTAACAGGGTCTCACCTATCAAATGTTAATAGAACTGAAGACTTTATAAGCTGTTTCTGAAATTAACATTTTGGTTCAATTATTTAAGATCCATTTTTCTGCAATGAAAGAACTTGTCACATTAAAATAGGATGTGCCATAATTTTCAATGGGCTGCTTTGTTTGTGCTTTGTAGACTTACACTAAATATAATTTAACCTATTCTTTTTACAGAACATTTTCCTCTTATCACTCACAATATACAGAACAAACTGACAAAGAAAATAATGCCTGAAATTAATCTGTGCTCACATGGAAGAATTAGCTTATATGTCTTTTACAGATGAGAGCATTTGCTTGTGAGTTTTTAGTTTAGAACTGAATATAATTTTACTTAAAATAAAAACTATAAAATGCTAAGAAAGATAATGAAATTGAACCTGAGACCCTTGCTACTCTTTTTTATACATATTAAAGTATATTTTTTACAGTGGGAATAATGACAGTGCTCAAATTTATAGCAAATGCCCTGGCTTTCACTAATGAATTTTTCTCTGATGATCTAGGGGCAAATAGAGTTATAGAAAAAAGCAGATTTGTGAAAATATTTTAAAGGTTTGCAACAATATTTTATGGACAACTGTGGTATCTTTATTGTCTATTAAAAGAGCTTAAACCGGGGAAGAGAAATTCATGACCATTGTTTTTTACTCCCCAAGAGACAGGAAAATATACAATCTGCTTGAACTGTTCTATCATAAGGTTCTTACCTAACAACTTCATTAACTAATGTTACTAAGACAGACTCTCTGTCTCTGTCATTGGAAGGAAAAGTAATGAGCTGTCCCTGGGTAAATCACATTGTAATCTGAGTAATGTACAGACATAATAATTTGGTAGCCAAGGGTCTTTGTGATGGATATTTGCTGGTGTTACTGCATGGGTAGAAGAGCATTGATTGAATAATAGTCTTAGGCATTCAGACTTATTTTTGAATTGCAGAATAGAACAAGAGGCATGATAATGTTGTTAACATTAAGAATTTTAGTAAATTAAGAGATCATGTCCTTCGTCATCAGACTTCTCAGTCCTGAGCTATTGCCCTGTTAGGACACTGAAAGAGGTTAACAGGGTCCTTGCAGAAGTATTTTTTTTAAAGAATTTTAGAAAGGTATTTACATTCATTGTATTTCTTTCTCATAAGGTTATCAGAAATAATATTACATTTAGTGATCAATAGTGAATATTTGTTTAATTGAAACTAGGCCAAATTTTCCTTTTCTGAGAGGCCTCTGATAAATAAACCAATGTGCTTCATATCTGATTGCCATTGATGTGATTGATTTGAATTAGAAAAATGAGATCAAAACCCATTCAATTATGCATACATTTTTGTTAGTAATCTGTTTTTAGAGAACATCATATAGCATTTTTTTCATATAGCATTTTAAAAGCATCTAAAAGTAACACCAATGTTTATTATCAAATTATTTATATTTAATAATATTATCTTGATAATTTGGTAAATCAATAATCTTAATCTGGTCTTTTTGCTCTACATAGAGACTGTATGTATTTCTTCAAGATTCACTCCTTTTCGTAAGGCTTCAAATGGGCCTTGTATCTACAGGAAGCGCCTCTGACTATTGTATAATTTGATGAATTGTTGAGTTCTCTGTAAACACAGCAGTAATTTGTCTCTGCATTTTGGATTTGATTTAGCTTTATTCTTTTCCTTATAGGCATTCTGAAATATTTACGATGGAATACACTGGTAATCTGATGTGAGATTCCTATAAAAAACAAAAAGAACTTATTACTAGGAAATTTACAACTGCTGGCACATTCTTCCACATTTTGTTTCTACTTACTGTGTGTATGTGTGCGTGTTGTTCAATCGTGAAATAATGGATGAAATAATAATTCAAACTTAATGATTTTTAAAAACCCTATTGTTTTATCCCTTGATGCTTGCAAAATTTCATAATTGATCATTAACCTGGTCATGTTAGTCCTCCTGTACCAATGTGAACACCTGCTCTGGTTTTAGAGGAATTAATTGGACAAATGTTCAAGGTAAATACAGTTGGCCTTGTCTGATCAGATGTTCTATGTACTAGTGTTTCCCAGCAGGCACATTTTAGCTGTAACATTACAGTGAGTAGTCAGAAGCCAATTTTGGGGTAAGTATCTTAAAATTAAATAGCTTTTGAATGAAGTATGTATGCAATAACATTGACCATGAGTGTTTAATAGAGCAGAGGAATGGCATTTCAATTCACTTTGGTGCAGGTATAATTTAAATTTATCAAATTAACACATCATTTTATTTTCCTTGAAAGACTAAAATTTCCTTAAATTTTCACTATCAGTTTGAAGGTCAGATTCTTATAGAACTATTCATCAGGTTGCTTAGTTCACCAGTCCTTCATGTTTTATGATGAGGTACAATCTAAAACCCAAAGAGGTAAGTGAATTTTAAAAACATCTTTTTTTGCATGAGCTTGTAGTTTATTAAGTGTCTAAAATTTTTCTGGGAAAACAGATGCTCAGAGGATATATACTTTAATTATTAAGATTGTTAATAGGACAACTCCCAGATTCTACTAAGGAAAAATTGCATCCTTCATAATATTGTTTATTACTCTAATATAAACCAAGTACTTAAAAATGTGCCAAATTGCCACTTTTAGACTTAAAAGTATTAATAACATTTTGACAACTTACATATCTACAAACTGATATTTCAGTCAGAAATCTTATAAGATAATGAATATATTAGAAAATGATACACAGAAATTATTTATTTTGCATATAAAACTTCTTTTACACTCTGGCTTTTACTGCTACTGTACTACCAGTCACAAGCTGATATACTAATTTAATTCTCAATAAGGCACCATAAGGCATCTGCTTGATAGCATATATTTATATTTGAAGTTTGTTAACATGTTATTTTCTAAAACTGTTTAACTTGCATTTTGAGGGATTTTCCTCTGTAAGTTGTATGTCTAAGCAAATAGAGTTTAATTACACATTTCAGAAAAGAAATGGAAATATCTAGATAATGACTTTATAGCTTAGTTTTGGGAAATAATTGACTATTAGTATCTTTATGTATGGAGCTTCTCTGGTGACGAAGTTGGTAAAAAATCCATTTGCAATGCAGGAGACCTGGGTTTGATGCTCAGTGTAGGAGACCCAGGCTTGATCTCTGGGTTGGAAAGATCCCCTGGGGGAGGGCATGATAAACCACTCCAGTATTCTTGCCTGGAAAATTCCATGGACAGAGAAGCCTGGTGGGCTACAGTCCATGGGTTCAGAAGAGTCAGACATGATTTGGTGACTAAAGCACCACCATCACCATCTTTATGTATAATGGTGATTCTTAATGACTCAACCATTTAGGGGTCATGGAAGCCTTCCTAATAATCTGCAGAACACTAGAAATATAGTTTTTCATTTTTAAAATATAAGACTTATAAAACATTATTCCAGAGGTTTTCATTTTTTCCTCCAATAGAGAGTTGCTTCCTGAGAGGGTTAAACTAGGAGTTACTTAAAGTGACTAAAATGTATTATTTGTAAGGTAAAAATTAGTGTTACTAAAAATTAAAATAGCTTAAAAATTAATTTAAAATTTCATTTAAAATACTTAAAATTTCAAGTACTTCAGAGTCAGTGTTCTCCTAGAGTCTGCAGCAATATGGCAAAACTCATCCTACTCCAGATGTAATGAGATGGTTGGATTTCCTGCAATTTTTCTGGAGAGTGTTTTAATAGGGTGTCATTAGTGTTGTGAATTGGTTACAGTTTTCAACTGCAACTTTCTTATATTTGTTAATTTATTTGTCAAATTATTCTTTGATTTTTAAAAATTGCTTTCTTATGTTATTACTGAACCGTTCATATTTGACTGCAATTTTGTTTCTTTATAATTTTTTTCTGAGCTTTTTTTTTTTGTACTTCCCTTGGAAAAGTGTGAGGTGGGTTTGGAAGTTCTTTCATCCTACAGTAGCAGGATTCTTTAATATGTGAGACTTGTTACTGTAAGAAGTTAGCCAGATTACTCAGTTGATTTAGAATACTTTAACTTCCTAATGTCATATGTTCAAAACCACACTGGAATGTATTCAGCTTTTATTCCATTTCTCCTTTTGTTCTTTTACCTGTTTTAGAATCATCTGGACAGAAGTTTCCCTTGGTATCAGAGTCACAAGTGTCTCATTTATAACTATGGGAAAAGATACAACAAAGTATCCTATAGATATTCAGAGATAGTATTACTGTTGATAATGTTCCAGAATCATAATTTCTCCTTTAATTAAAAAAAAAAAGCTGCAATACATTCTATACTGCTTGTTGAATACATGTAAAAAATGTTAACAGCACATGGCCCATTTCTCCTAATAGATGATGCTTAGTCTGAAAATTGGCATTAAAATAATTTTGTGGCAGTTTGTTCCAACAAGATGGAAAGTTCTAATAGGTAGAAATCTTTCTGTTGAACTTACTATGATAAACTCTGATTATTTTTAAAAACTAATAAATTTTGAATTAATGAATGCACAGAGGTCAAAATGGATAAGATCCTGCTGTGGAGTCTCCTATTGACTTTTTCTGGAAGTCGAGCTTCAAGCCCCTTGGTTCAAAGAAATACTGAATTTGTAGTGGATCTTTATCAAGCTGTTGGTTTATCTCATAAGAACAACATCATAATTTCACCTCTTGGAACAACTTTGGCCCTTGGAATGATACAACTGGGAGCAAAAGGAAAAGCACAACAGCAGATAAGACAAACTTTAAAATTTCAGGAAACCTCAACTGGTAAAATTCTTCCACATGATTATTTACACTGGATAAGATCTGGGCAAATTTATTTTCAAACTATTAGAGAAGCTAAGGGTTATACAACTTTAGTAAGTTTTGAAAGTTATGAAAGGTATAAAATTATAATAATATGGAGAAAATTGTCAATGTAAGCAATTTTATTGTTTCTTAAGGAAAATATTACCAAAATAATTTATAAAAAATTGATTCTATATACATGAAAATTGTGACTATGTCAGTAATATTTTCTTCTGGCCTGTTTTGGCCAGTTTTCATTGAGATCATGTTGTGTGTGCATGTGCGTGTGTATGAGTGGCTATACACCCATGTATATGTATACATATATTCTTCCACTAGTACTTACTGTGTTCTGATTGTTTTTTTCATATCATGCAATTGCTTCAGAGTATATTTTTAATTGCTGCATTTTATTGTCTCTAATGGAAACACCATTTCATATTTACCTAATCCTTCCTGATTAAGTAGTTTCCAGTACTTCTTTTATAAAAATGCTTCAGTGAGCAACCTCACCCAGAAATCTTTGTGTGTCTCTCATTATTTTGTAGGCTTTTAAAAAATAGCTTTTTAATTGAGATTACCTTTTTCACTTAAATGAGACCAAGAAAAAGTATTTACTTATACAGTTTCAAAGCTTCTTTAATAGCTTCTAAATATTTTTTAAAAGGATCATTTACATGACTCATCAGAGACCCTTTCGTGTATGAGTGGTTGTTATCTAGTCTCTCAATGGCCTATCTGAGACACCGTGTAGATGCTTTAGTGTTGGTACCCCGTCTTAAGGGGTGGTTGTCCATCTCCCTAGCTATCCTGGGCTTCCAAGTTCCATAAAGATTTGAATTTTAAACTTTGATATCACTGTCAGATATCGTGTCCTAAATATTAGAGGCGATATCCAAGATTTTTTTGGGGGGGTGTTTAATTATTGTAACTGTAACTAATTTCAGTATGTCTGCCCTGGCATAGAATCGTTGTTGTTGTTGTTTAGTTTCTAAGTTGTGTCTGACTCTTTTTGACCCCGTGGACTGTAGCCCACCAGGTTCCTCCGTCCATGGAATTCTCCAGGCAAGAAGACTGGAGTGGGTTGCTATTTCCTTCTCCAGCGGGTCTTTCCAACCATGTCTCCTGCATTGCAGGCAGATTCTTTTCGCTGAGCCACTAAGGAAGCCCAGCATAGAGTAGTTACATTTAGGAAACTGTTTTCCTGAATAAACTATTTACCAAGTTCTATTTGCTTCATTTTAAGGCAATTTTATGTAGAAAAGAAACTGGTGATAGTGAAGTTACTTGACAGAGTTCTCCGTTGTGGATAATGTAAAATGAAATCACTGTATTCCAGATCTAGTCTTCATTGTCTGTGTTAATTTAAGTAAATCCCACGACACAATCCCAGAAACATTTACATCACATGATATTGCTTTGAAAAGTAATAGAACGTTCATGAAAATGTTAAAGTTGATTCCATGATAAACTAGCAAAATTAGAGCCTCTGAAATTTAAATTACTGTAAATGAATCCATCTTACAGAGGAACATGGGAGTCTTAACAACTCTGGACTGTGAACATAATAATAACAATGCTAAAACTATCAAATATATATAGTGTGCCAGTCACTGTTTTATGTACTCAATATACTTTATTTTATTTACTCTTCACAGTTACTCTGTGAGCCAGACATATACCTGCTATACAGATGAGGACACAAAGGCAAAGAAAGTTTGAGTAACTTGCCCAGAACTAATTCCAAAAATGATTCACTGACGGTTATAGATCACAAGAGCAACAATGAATATTTTAATGTTTTCTTTAAAAGAGTATACATGCATCATTAAACATTAACTTTGTAACATACATAACAAAATCTACCAAACTCGCTATCTCTTGTTGTTGTTGTAGATGTTCAGTCATTCAGCTCATGTCTGACTCTTTGCAACCCCATGGACCACAGCACGCCAGGCTTCCCTGTCATTCACCATCTCCCAGAGCTTGCTCAAACTCAAGTCTATTGAGTTGGTGATGCCATCCCACCATCTTAGCCTCTGTCATCCCCTTCTCTTTCTGCCTTCAGCCTTTCCCAGCATCAGGGTCTTTTCCAAGGAGTCGGCTCTTTGCATCAGGTGGCCAAAGTGCTGGACCTTCGGCTTTAGTCCTTTCAATGAATATTCAGGGTTGATTTTCTTTAGAATTGAGTGGTTGGATCTCCTTGTACTATCTCTTATATTTTGTTAAAGGAGAGAAAGGCACAGATTGAGGGTAAGTGCAAAAAGAAAAGAAAGACCAACCAAAAAAGGAGAAAATATAAATATTAAACTCTGGAAAATTTTTAGAAAGAAGTTGAGGAGAGCAGAGAGAAAAAAGTGCAGGAAGATGAAAAGAAAGAGATGCAAAATGATTTCAGGGTAAAACAAAGGGTGCAACAGATCAGAAGGTAGTGCCTGGCAGGGCCATACTGGAACTCAGGGCAAAAATAAAGATCAGTAATTATGATCTTGCCTTTAAATTTTTATGTTTTGTTCATCATGGATTTCTTTGTGTTAATATTGATATTTAAAATATATTTCAGTAAAATATTGTTTACCCTGATTACTGAATTTGTTGCCATCTCCTTAAACTTTATGCCAAAATGAGGGTCTCATTGACCCATCTTGGTCCTGGCCCTGCCTTCAGTTCCCTCTGATTGTCAAATGGTCCTATCTGTTGAATCAGGCTATATTTACCTTCCCTGCTACCAACCTGTTTCACAACCTGCTTATTCTGCAGATGGGCTTATAGCTCCTGGCATCCTACCCACACTGGAGCTCTCAGCATCCTCACTTACTCTTCTTTCCCCATCGCTAAAACAATCTGTTCAGAATTTACCTTCTCCTGTTTACTGAGCATCTGATAATACTCCATTTTGCATTGCTTCTAATAAAGTTGCTTATTGATTGAAGACTAGCTTAAAGGTATTTCTTTATTCTAAGCAGTTTATGGAAAGAGAACTGCCATAAACTCCTGGCTCAGTTATGCATCCAAATGACCCTGTGATGGGGCACCTTTCAAGCTAGCTTATCTCTCTAGATTTTAGATTCTTCATTATAAAATATGGATTGGATGATTTCCATGGGCTTCCCTGGTGGCTCAGATGGTAAAAAATCCACCTGCAATGCGGGAGACTTGGGTTTGATCCCCGGGTTGGGAAGATACCCTTGAGGAGGGCATGGCAACCCACTCCAGTATTCTTGCCTGGAGAATATCCATGGACAGAGCAGCCTGGGGGGTCTACAGTTCATTGGGCCACAAAGAGTCGGACACGACTGAACGACTAAGCACTGCACAGCACACATGGACCTTTCAGCTAAAACAATCTATAATCCTGTGACTGCCTTTGTTTTCATCTTTGGATCTCTCACATCGTACACACAGTTGGCCTTCGGGCTTTCAATAGCAGAAGAAGTAAACATGTACTAAAGTTTAGAACTTTTTGGAGGTCTAGTACAACCAAACCAAAAGTCACATTCACTCCATGATCTATAGGTTTTCCATGGCCTTATTTTAGGAAATGAAATAAACTTACTGCTTATTAGGATTCATGTATATGTATTCTTTTTGATCTATGCTAAAAGAAGCTATTAATCTGTAAATTAAATTTATAAGGCAGATAACTTTATATTCTCCAAACTTGTGCTATTGGTGATATTTTTTTCATTGACTTCTGAGTCCAGCAATTTATCAAAGAGCAGCTGACTGTCATACAGTCTTAGACCTAAAGTACATGACATAAATTTATTTGCTCTGACAAATGAGTTGGAACTATTTTTTTTCCTCCTCTCCTTTTTTCTCCCAATCCTTTAAAGATGTTCATAAATTATGAACTTCTGAAAATTGGTTTCAAAGTTTGCCATTTTATTCCTGACTTTAATTAATTCTTTTGGAGAAGCTGTCATGTCTTCACTCAGAAAGTCATCTTGGTAACTTTTCAGCTATTGAGATAATATTTCAGCTTCCAATAGCAAGAAGTGATTGCATCTGAAATAATTGTATAAATAAGTAAAATAGATTAACATTCTTCATTATGTAAGGAATTCCAGAGTTGTAAAGAATCACTGATATTCTTCAGATCCAATCATATGGAAGAAAGTTTTCGCATCTAAAATTGTTTACATCTATGTCTATATCCCCATGAATGGAGAATCACGGCATTTGAAATGTAATGCAGTATACCTTCCGAGTCTGTTCTGTGGTTATGTAGGCTGAATTTGCACAAGAGAACCTTCCCAGATGGCTCAATAGGGTTTGATCCCTGGGTTAGGAAGATCCCCTGGAGTAGGAAATAGCAACCCACTCCAGTACTCTTGCCTGGAAAATTCCATGGACAGAGAAGCCTGGAGGGCTACATTCTCTGGGGTCACAAAAGAGCTGGACACAATGAACCAGAATCAAAGGACAAGTGGGGACTGAAATGTGGCCTTCACTCAGCTGGACAAGATATGAGGTAATGGGGACACCCCACCACCACCCAGGTGAGAGCACACCTTATTTGCACAAGGATGTCCTATGGGCTAGGAGCTCTCTGATATTAATAAAATGTTTACACACACATGTACACATCTGATTTCCAATAGACACCTGACAGCAAGTTCCTCTCAGTCTTTTATTCTTTATTCAGTGGACATTTCCCAATGATGAACCATTTGTGTTTTCTTCAGTAGAGATAAATTGCATGCAATCAAATTTTAAGTTGTGAAAGTGGTATTTTCAGTATTTAACTCAAAATAAACAAAGGCTCTGAAGAACTGTGGATTTGAAATACAGTTCCCAGATTTAATGATTGAGTTCTAAAATTAAGCCAGAAGGAAATATAAAATATTGGTGCCTTCTGGTAATAAATTGGAAGCCCCTGAGCAATGATCAGAGCAGAATTCTTTCATAGCACATACACCTTTCTGACAACACTGTAGTCAGAATGACCCAACGATAAATAGGTATAGGCCGACAGTGATTCTTAGCTGACTCTAAGACCACTCTAGTGGTTAGAGTTGGAATGGTTAAGGATTTTTATTGTTCACATAGACAACCAAAGTATAGAGACTCATGAACCTGGAGAAACAGGCAATTCTGATCCTTAGCATCTTTAGAGATGATTACAGGGGTTACCTCATAAATTTCAAAACTTGGACAGGCACAGTTCCTCATAAGAGAGCAATTCTTTCTTAAACTGAAATAAAAGTAGTATTGAAAAGGATTGCTCATCACTGTCTTAGCCCTCATCAGTATTCATTAGTATTCCTCCTTCACAAATATCTCATGTTATGCATAGAATGAGACTCTAAAGATACCTTTCCAACAACTAAGAATGAGCTAAATTTAACTATAAAGAAGGAATTTCCTTCAACCTTTTTAAATGCATATTCTCATTTTTGACAAATTTCAAATTTACATGGACATTTTTTTCCTGTAGGAGAGCTGGTTTCTCTACAAAATGCATATTCCACAAGAGATAAATGCTTAAAATATTTATACTAACTTAGAAAATATCGTTAGTTTTAACTTAGGGTGCTAAAAAATGGTGATATGAATCAGTGCTTAGAAGTAAAGCTGAGAAGCTGTTGTTTTTATGTTGTTCAGTATGTCAGTGTACATTATAATTATTTTTCAGGAGAAGAATTTTCTGAGCTGAAGTCATTTTTCTCTGCCATCTCAGAGAAAAAACAAGAATTTACATTTAATCTTGCCAATGCCCTCTACCTTCAAGAAGGATTCACTGTGAAAGAACAGTATCTCCATGGCAACAAGGAATTTTTTCAGAGTGCCATAAAACTGGTGGATTTTCAGAATGCAAAGGCTTGTGCAGAGACAATAAGTACCTGGGTAGAAAGCAAAACAGATGGTAAAGTTTCCCATTTCCATAAAGTCATTATTTGCCATTGTATTCATGGTTTTTAATATACTAAAGTAAAGAATGATTGAATATTTTCCTATTAAACTATGGCTCATAGGGATCAGTTCCTCTGTTTTGCTTCCCTGTTATTCAAATTAACACTAAATTGTAAAATAGAGAGAAACTGTAAGCTGCTTTGAAAACTATACAGATTTTTCTTGGACAGGTAACCTGTTTGAGAATTCTTACTGGAAGAATTTTAATAGTAATCTTTTGTTAAAGTGTGTTTTTTTAAGTATGGCAGCAGGAATAATATCTTAGGCCAGATAAGACTTAGATCTGTCAATCTCAGATGACTTCTTTCCCACATACACTATAAATAATTAACACATATTAGTTGGCTGTGTTAATGTTTCATAATAAACATTGATAGTTCTATCATAAAGTTGTAATCTAAACTTTTAAGTATAAGCTAGCAGAAATTCCTAAGGCACTACTGAGAGACATAGTAGAACACAAGTTTAAGCTCATATGGGTCTGAGTTCAAATCCTGACAAGTTCTAAGCCATGCCCCATTTAAAATGAGGATACTGTTACAATGTTTCAGGATTATTGAAAGATTCAAAAGAATGTGTGTGAAGAGACCAGTATATATCAGGCCCTCAATTTATAGCAACTTGTTTCTTCATTCATTCATTCTGCTATTTAACACAAAAACAACTGTGATGTGTAAGATGAGATTCTGTTTTATGTGGGGAGCCTCTGATGGAGAAGCATAGGTTGAAAATGTGAGATGGGTATTGTGAGCACTGTTCAGAGGCAAGTACTATTACTGGGATACACATTAAGAGCATCCATAGACAGCTCCAAGGCACCTGATCATGCTGTTGACTCATAGCTTTGAAATACTTATTAGACATAGAAATCAGAGACTGGTTTTTTGCAAGAGGAACATCACATTAGCAACTCCATTCTTACCCTTTCTCAGTGGTCAGTGGCTACAGATGCAATAGCAGAGAATTTGAGTGGACCACTAATTTATTAATTCTGATTGACTTGCTGAAGAACTTTGAAATAAAGCTTGAAAAAATAACAACAGATATGCAGGAAGAGATACTTGATTTTGTTCCTTCTGTCTGAAAAGCAATTTACACAATTGATTTCACCAAAGAGCAGCCATTGCTGGGTCTGTCTAAACTTGTCTAAGATATTCCGTATCTCCTGTTTCCTAATGAAGCCCTGTTTGTACCTGTTTCTTTGTGAATATTTAATAAAGCTCCTCCTTAACGGCTCCAAAATTGCCAAGTTTAAATGATAAAGCACCCTATTTTTAATTGATTAGCAAGGTAAATTTTTGTTTTAATTCTATTTAAAGCAGTTCTTTGAATCACTGTTGCATGTTTCTTTCTGCCTCTTCCTCTATTCCCTCCCCAGGAAAAATTAAAGACATGTTTTCAGGGGAAGAATTTGGTCCTCTGACTCGGCTTGTTCTGGTGAATGCTATTTATTTCAAAGGGGATTGGAAACAGAAATTCAACAAAGAAGACACACAACTGATGAATTTCACTCTGAAAGATGGCACAGCAGTCAAAATTCCAATGATGAAGGCTCTTCTGAGAACGAAATACGGTAATATGAAAAAAAAGTCACACTCTAAAGGACAACTTTGGGAATTGCTAAGAACATTAATATTTTATTTTCTCTGTTTCAGGTTATTTTTCTGAATCCTCCATAAACTACCAGGTTTTGGAATTACCTTATAAAGGTGATGAGTTTAGTTTAATTATCATACTTCCTGCAGAACACATGAACATAGAAGAAATGGAAAAGCTAATTACTGCTCATCAAATCCTGCAATGGTTCTCTGAGATGCAAGAACAGGAAGTGGAAATAAGCCTTCCTAGGTTGGTAATGTCATTTTATCACTCTGGTTCTTATGTTTTCACTTATAGACGGATTTCAATAGCTGGCTGAAAGATAACTAATGCTTGAAAGTCTACTGACAAAAAGAAAAAGAAAAACCCGTTAGGAATTGTTACTCTGCTTTATGGATACAAAGCAGGTCTGAACATTGCCAGCATTGTTTTGCCATGAGGAGGATAGAATTTAAGTACTTAATATTCTCTGAAAGGAATGAAGAAATATGTCTTCAAAACAGAATGCTGGGATTAAAAAGAATTATTACTCTTTTTATTGTACAAACTTATTTTTCTCTAACTTTTTTTTCTGGTTGAAATTTAAAATATTTTATCTTCTCTTGTGTTTAAGGAAAATAAAATCCCCAAGGCACATGTGATATTATATAGTTAAAAAACATGTTGTTACCTTTGATAGAGCATGCTCTCAGTTCAGTTCAATTGCTCAGTTGTGTCTGACTATCTGCGACCCCATGGACTGCAACATCCCAGACTTCCTTGTCCATCACCAACCCCCCGAGCTTACTCAAACTCATGTCCATTGAGTCGGTGATGCCATCCAACCATCTCATCCTCTGTCGTTCCCTTCTCCTCTTGCTTTCAATCTTTCTCAGCATCAGGGTCTTTTCCAATGAGTCAACTCTTTGCATAAGGTGGTTAAAGTATTGGAGTTTCAGCTTCAGCATCAGTCCTTCCAATGAACACCCAGGATTGATCTCATTTAGGATGGACTGGTTGGATCTCCTTGCAGTCCAAGGGGCTCTCAAGAGTCTCCAACACCATATTTCAAAAGCATCAATCCTTCGGCGCTCAGCTTTCTTTATAGTTCAACTCTCACATCCATACATGACTACTGGAAAAACCACAGCTTTGACTAGATGGACCTTCGTTGGCAAAGTAATTGGTCATAACTTTTCTTCCAAGGATCAAGCTTTTTTTAATTTCATGACTGCAGTCACCATCTGCAGTGATTTTGGAGCCCAAAAAAATAAAGTCTCTCACTGTTTCCATTGTTTCCCCATCTATTTACCATGAAGCGATGGGACCAGATGTCATGATCTTAGTTTTCTGAATGTTGAGTTTTCAAGCCAACTTTTTCACTCTCCTCTTTCACTTTCATCAAGAGGCTCTTTTGTTCTTCTTCACTTTCTGCCATAAGGGTGGTGTCATCTGCATATCTGAGGGTATTGATAGTTCTCCCAGCAGTTTTGATTCCAGCTTGTGCTCCATCCAGCTCAGCATTTCTCATGCATATACATTAATTAACCAGGGTGACAATATACAGCGTTGACATACTCCTTTCCCGATTTGGAACCACTCTGTTTTTCCACATCCAGTTCTGTTACTTATTGACTGGCATACAGATTTCTCAGGAGGCTGGTCAGGTGGTCTGGTATTCCCATCTCTTGAAGAATTTTCCCCAGTTTGTTGTGATCCACACAGTGAAATGCTTTGGTGTAGTCAATAAAGCAGATGTTTTTCTGGAACTCTATTGCTTTTTTGACGATCCAGTGGATGTTGGCAATTTGATCTCTGGTTCCTCTGACTTTTCTAAATCCAGCTTGAACATTTGGAAGTTCACAGTTCACGTACTGTTGAAATCTGGCTTGGAGAATTTTGAGCATTGCTTTGCTAGTGTATGAGATGAGTGAAATTGTGTGGTAGTTTGAGCATTCTTTGGCATTGCCCTTCTCTGGGATTGGAATGAAAACCGACCTTTTCCAGTCCTGTGGCCACTGTTGAATTTTCCAAATTTGCTGGCATATTGAGTGCAGCACTATCACAGCATCATCTTTTAGGATTTAAAATAGCTCAATTGGAATTCCATCACCTCCTCCAGCTTTCTTTGTAGTGATGCTTCTCAAGGCCCACTTGACTTTGTATTCCAGGATGTCTGGCTCTAGGTGAGTGATCACACCCTCATGGTTATCTGGGTCATGAAGATCTTTTTTGTATAGTTCTGTTTATTGCAATCTCTTCTTAATATCTTCTGCTTCTGTTAGGTCCATACCATTTCTGTTGTTCATTGCGCTCATCTTTGCATGAAATGTTCCCTTGGTATCTCTAATTTTCTTGAAGAGATCTCTAGTCTTTCCCGTTCTATTATTTTCCTCTATTTCTTTGCATTGATCACTGAAGAAGGCTTTCCTATCTCTCCTTGCTGTTCTTTGGAACTCTGCATTCAAATGGGTATATCTTCCCTTTTCTCTCTTGCCTTTAGCTTCCCTTCTTTTCTCAACTATTTGTAAGGCCTCCTCAGACAACCATTTTGCCTTTTTGCTTTTATTTTCTTGGGGATGTCCTTGATCACTACCTCCTGTACAATGTCATGAATCTCCATCTATAGTTATTCAGGCACTCTGTCTATCAGATCTAATGCTTTGAATCTGTCACTCCCACTGTATAATCATAAGGGATTTGATTTAGGTCATACCTGAATGGCCTAATGGTTTTCCCTTCTTTTTAAAATTTAAGTCTGAATTTGGCAATAAGGAATTCATGATCTGAGCCACAGTTAGCTCCTGGTCTTGTTTTTGCTGTCTGTATAGAGCTATATAGACTGTATAGAAGGTGTATAGATGCCATAAACTGTTTAGACTGTATAGAGGGTATATATATATATGTATAGACTGTATAGAGGGTGCTCTAACAGTCATTAAATTATAAGTAGGATCCAAGGATAATATTTATTATTGGGGTATTCATATATATATTTAAAACTTCTCATTTTTATACAATTTTAAAGGTTACTTCCCATTTATAGTTATTATAAAATATTGGGTTCATTTTGGATAGTTATTACAAAATGGAAATCACAAAGGCGTATCTCAAGAAGCCATAATTATAAACACTAACTTCTTGATATCAAGCTTCTGGGAGACAGGAGAAACTTCAGAGCAAAAGGTGTGTCTAAATAACTCTCAACCTGAACTTTTAAAAGGAGACATGTATAATAGATTATTTTCTGTCCTGTCATTTCTAAATTTTTCTTCAAACTTCCAGGGCCTGCATGGTCTGTGCCCCATTTTCCTGGCCCTCTGTCTCTCCACCTGCTTGAATTTTCTTTCTGTTTGCACTTAGCTAGGATCTAGTTAGTTGTTTGAATTGCACTGTCACCAAACATTTGACATATTTTTGTCACCTGTCTATGCTCCTTTGTAATTATCTCCTCATCCTGAATCCTGAATCTACTCAAAAAGTCTCTTGGATTCCTTAACTACTGATTTTGTTAAGGAAAATTCCCAAAGCAGTCACTCTGGCCTCCCTTAGGCTGGAGCTTAACAGTCTATCTTCAGAGAATGTTCTTTTCTAACACTCCACCAAGACTTTACCTCTGCTCTCCAGGTACTGCTTCATGTTGATTATCTTACTCTCAATGTATGTCTCAAATCCCTATTTCTTAAATAGAACATACTATTATGTAAACTCACCTCTCTACCCTTCATCTCAAAAATTGTATAAATCTTTGCTAAACTTCTCTTCCTCTATCTTCCTTGATACTCAGGAGAAAGAGGTATCCTATGCTTTCTTCACCCTAACTCTGGGCTCTTGATCCACATGTTTTTAACCATCCCTTTTATTTAAAAAAAAACCGTTCTTTGTTTAACCCCCTGGCATTACTTTTATTTATTTTTCTCTCTTTCTGTGAAATTTTCCTACTCCCTGACTTATACAATTTTTCTTTCTGTCCCCAGATAATGTTTACCAGATTTAATTTTGAGATATTTCCTGTTCCTACTCTCTCTCTTTTTATTTTTGTTCCTTATACTTCATGTCTCTAATATCCAACTCTTAAGTTCCAATCTCTCTTCTAATTCCCTACTGTCTATAAATTTCTACCTGGATGTTATTTGGTCTTTCAGAGTTTTTTTTTTTAGCTCCTACTATGTGCCAAACATTGGGTATATAACGGTGTATGTGACAGATAATTTGCTTATTAATCATAGAAATAGTAATTTTTGAAATTATTTGTTTTCAAATTTACTTCTCTCTCACTTCCCATTGGGAAGATTAATAGAAAAGGACATACATAGAAATCCCTGAGTTTGAGGAGTGCCTATACTATGTACTAGCAGTGGGGTCTTAGGAGAGTCACTGATGTCCTGAGTTGTGGTTTTATTAGCACAAAATGGAGATAATGGTACCTATAACCAAGATGGCTCCAGCTTCATCAATCTAAATATCAAATGTCTAGGTAGGAGTGAGGTAAGTTCCAAGATCAATTGACAATAGAAAATATAGGCTTTCACCAGAATTCCTTTCTCTACCATATTAGGAATCCCCACAGCAATGGTTCACGGTCCACAAATCCATCTAGGCTACTGCAGTCTGGACAGCCCTTTTCAAACTTCAAGACCTGTTATTAGCCTCTCCAAACTGTAGCCACGTTTCTCATACAACTTCTCCCAAAGCATGGACACAGACTTTGCTTTTAATTTCTCTAAGAACAACTGCTATGAGTTGAATTATGTGCTTCTCAAATTTGTATGTTGAAGTGCTAACTCCCACTACATCAGAATGTTTTCTTATTTGGAGATAGAATCTTTGTAGAAGTAATCAAGTTAAAGTGAAGTCATCAGGGTGGACTCTAATCCCATGTGACTCCTTTATAAAAAGGAGAAATTTAGATTCAAAGATACACAAGCAGAGAAGGTGTTGTGAAGAAATACAGGATGAAGATGGCCATCTACAAGTCAAGGGGAGAGGCTGGAATAGATGTTTTCCTCACAGCTCTCAGAGGAAACCAATCCTTGATTAGCAGATGCCTTGATTTTGGACTTCCAAACTACAGAACTGCAAGACAATATGTTTCTGTTATTTAAGCCACATAGTTTGTAGTAATGTGTTAAGGTAGCCTTTGGCAAGTCTATACAAGTAAGAGCAACTTCAATGTTTAACTAAACTCTACTGAAATCTAATATGGGTTTTCCCGGTAGCTCAGATGGTAAAGAATCTGCCTGCAGTGCAAGAGACCAGGGTTCGCTCCC